TTCCTTGCTTATGTTGAAGGAGAGCATAATTCCAAGGTAGTGGCACATATTGGGGATGAAGACTTTACAGTAAGAATCAGTACTGACGGAGAAGAATACAACATAGAGGTACGCTTTGCTGTTTAAAGCAATATTCAAACAGTCATCTCCTTTTCTCTGTGGGTGTTTCTCCTTCCAGTTAGTCATATTGATACCTCTGTAGCTCAGAATAGACTCGATGGTGGTGTTTGTTTTGGTGGGAGGAGGGAGAGAAACGTGAAACAGATTTGACTTTCACAAGTGTTCAGTTTTATTAGTGAGTGACATTCTCTGACATCTGCATGTTTTAGATATATCAGGGAGAAGGTATGTTTTAAATAGGAAAGGGTTTTAGAAAGAGAAATGGTATAATGTTAGTAATTAGTGGAGATCGTGTCTTTTAGAATAACAAACCATGCAGCCTTCTGAGCAGAGTTGAAGTCTGAGCTTTCTAAAATTTTGGCTTTGTTACATCTTGGAATTTGTCCCATTTGTAGAGCTTTATTTGAAAATCTAGTATTTTTCCCTGCTTGTTTCTGTTTTTCACAATTTTCATAGCTTGTGACTATTGGGTTAAAAAAAAAAAATCAACAAATATATAATTTAAGGCACTATCCTAATGAGTTGTTCAGTGCAGTGTATTCCCAGGCACAAGCTGCATTAGAATGGCTGAATAACAGTAATTATGGCTGAGTGTTATATGGATATTGTAATTGTCTTCAAACCCAAGGATATGCAGAATTATGGGTAAGCCTGAGAAATCCAGTCATGTGAAAGTATGAAAATGTGATTGGAATACCCAAACCTCTGTGCTTGTGTTCTCTATTAAGAACAGATAGTAGCCATTTGATTGTGGTTTAAAGCATTTTTGTGTTTGTGGTCCAGAATAATGTAAGTGTATCTCAGTTCCCCGTGCAGCCAGCCCCCTTGCTCCTCCCTAGCTGTGTCTGTGCAGCCATATAAAGGCAGGCAGTGGAGGTCCTGGCTTGCCCACACTGCCCAGCTGTTAGCATCCCAGGGTCAGCTCCGGCCCCTAACCAGCCCTGGATGAGATGGTGTCTGTGTGCAGTCAGAGACTGTGTGTGCCAGAGACCATTCCCAAGCCACTCTGCTGTTGCCTTCCTTTGCATTCATGGTCCCCCTGCACTGTTCAGAAAGGTTGTGGACCTTCATATAAACTCCTGGTGCCCTTGTGCCTTGCCCTAGGGTGGAAAATTTGTGCCCTCTGTTTGGTACTGTAGCCACAGGACTGCAGGGCCAGCACAGCCTTTGCATTTCAGGACCTTTTTACTGTGAACCAAAAGTACAGTGTGCTAAGTAGGAGATGAGTGAAGTTGAAAGGCCACTGCCAAAGGGCCAGAGGAGACACAGACCCAAGTGTTCTGCAGTGTGGACATGGGCGGTCTGTACTGCTTGCCCTCAACCAGGGAACAGGCCCCGGCCATGTTGTATTTGGTGGTGTTGCTGTAGCTGTTATGTACAGATAATTATAGGGATGTGTTTCTTAAAAAACAAATATTAATAAAAGGTCAGTATGCATCTCCCATGGGAATTAGGAAAACCGTGGGACATCATGGTTTTCTGGTTTTCTTTGCTTTAGGAGGTATTTTCATGCTTATAAGTGACTTGGGTCGCTATTGAATGTTGAAGAGCCTGCCTTCTGCTGTGCACTTAAATATTTTCTAGTATCTGCCTACTCCGGTGCTTCTTCTAGTCACTGTGTTTATTAGCGTAGTGTAAGCATCTCCTCCCTGGCTGTGCCACTCTCCGTGCTGTGAGGAAGGGAGCAGAGGAGCCTGAGATGACTCCTCAGCTTGCTCACATTCTGGAGGGGAAGAAAAATTTTGTCTCTTCTGCAGCCTTATCAGGTGGCTGCCACCACTCTGTTGAGATTATAGTAGATTTTTGGATGCCTGTGTAGCGTAGAAGAGTTGCATTCTGTTGGCTTTCTTGGGGACATCATTTTATGAGTAGAGTTATTGCTGTGGGTGAAATTATTGTAGTCCAGTGTATTTTTGTGTGTCTCCACATAAAGCTGTGGAGATTTGATGGTACATAAATACAATTCTTTCCTTATATAGACTTAGTCTTTGTGTTCACTGTGTTCCTAAATAATTGCATTTCTGTTCTTCTTGTGCTTTCAGCCACTGTGGAGATTTATAGATAATGTGCAAGATGAAAGACTGCTGGTCTACAGATCTGGAGATATTAAAGATTTCTCACGATTGCAGTCCCCCAAAGTGTGTGGTTATTTAAAGCTGAACGAAGAAGAACTGTTGCCAAAAGGACTGGAAGACAGGAAGCAAATTGAAGGTGAGTGTCTGTACTTTGGGAGAGCACCATCTTTGAAACGAATGCTTGAATTCTGGCTGTGAAGGCAAGTAAGACCAGAACCTGGCCAATACTCTTGTCTCACTAGTTCTAATTTAGCTATGAAAGCAGTGTTCCTCTTCATGCCTGCTCCCCACCCAAAAAAGCCCCAACAACTGATGAAAGGAAGAAATGATTGCTAGGGGCATGTTTCTTCCTGGCTTGTTGAAAGGGTGTTTGGCCCTACCAAAGCATAGGCTGAAGAGAGGAAGCTATTTCATCAGCCCTAAGTGGTGTTTGTTGTGATAGCTGGCAGCAATGGAGGCAAACATTAAAACAACTTTATACTTTTGTGTACTAGGACCTGTTTGGCCTCAGTGGTCATTCTAAGAATCTGTCTTGAGCTGTGATGGGTTATTGAGAGTTTTGGGTCCCTCTTTTCTCTGTCCTCAGCTGTGGCAGCAGAGATGGGGATAATAACTAGGAACCAGGAGGAGGAGAGGTGTTAGGGCCAAGATGATGACCATAAAAGCTCTGTAGGTGAATGTGTTGAATAGCTTAATTTCACTACTGCGTTTCTTTCCTTCCAAGAAGTTTAAGGACTGTTTATGAAGACAAAATTAAAAATAATTCCTTAAAAGAAAACCAACCAACCAACAACAAAAAACCCACAAAAAAACCCAAAACAAACCCACCAAACCCAAACACTTCCCTCAAAACCCACTCCAACATCCATTAGTGTCTTAAATATGGGTAATAGACACAGCTGTTGCAGTTTTATTGAGTGTTTATTTAATTGTATTCAAAATGTTCACATTAGCAAGCGTCCATCGGAAGAAAAGAGCTGTTCCAGAGAACTCCAAAAACACGTGCAAGATGTTGGTAGTGGCAGATCATCGTTTTTTCAAGTATATGGGCCGTGGGGAAGAGAGTACTACTATAAACTATTTGGTAAGTAAATATACTCTGTTATGATTTGCTGGAGTAAATGGAGGGAATAAATATTGATTCAGTAGTTAAAACATACAGGTTATACTACTTTTCTACAACATATGCCTTTACATCGTGACTGTGTATGCTTTTTACCTGGAAAAGTGCTAAATCATGCTTCAAAAATATTTTGTAATGGTGATACTGTAGTTAAACAGTCTTCAAGTTTAATTTATAAACAGATCTCTTCCCTTCACGTGCCTTTTGTGGCTATGCTATTTTCTGCCTAAGAAATGTTCTTTTTCCAGTCAGCTTTAGAATCTCCTGGATTTTGATTTCCACTACAAATGATCTGAGAATCTTTAAAGTTCAAGCATGTTTAAAACTCATATGATAGGCAAAAGCAACTTGTATAGGGGTTTGTTTTTTTTTTTTTTTTCAAATTCTTCCAAGATTATATGTCCAGAGCAATAAAATTGAAGCAGGCACTGTAAACAATTAGTTTGGTTGTAAATGGGTGCTGTGGGTTACCCCTGGCAGGCAGCTCAGCCCCACCGGGCCGCTTGCTCATTCCTCCCTGGTGGGATGGGGGAGAGAATCAGAAGGATAAAGGTAAGACAGCTGTTGGGTTGAGATAAAAACAATTTAATATGTTAAGCAAAAGCTGTGCACACAAGCAAAGCAAAATAAGGAATGAATTCAGTGCTTCCCATGGGCAGACAGGTGCTCAGCCATCCTCAGGAAAGCAGGGCTCCATCACACTTAACAGTTACCAAGTAACTCAGCCAAAACCAGTACAGTGGGGTTGTCTACCTGAGATGAGATGCCTGCCCACAGCCTTTCAGCAGAAGTGGAGAGTATGGGTTTGGGGACTGGAGACAAAAACAAATGAAACCACTTCTGGAGGCCTGTTGTTTGTCAAGAGTCTCTTTCTGAGCCTGAGTCTTTGAAATGCTAATCACACTATTCCACCTTTGCTGGCTTTTTGACCTTTAGGTCTCCAGAAATGTTTACCTTCCCCAGGTAAGGGAGCCTCAATTTGTGTATTTGCAGAGGCTCTATTTTGTTATCTCAGCATCTGAGTGATGGCCCAGGCTAACCTACTGTTGTGTTAACTGCCTGGTTGTGTACTGTAAACAACACAGAGATTGGAAAACTAAAGCATGAACTATTATAGAGTGGCTCTGAGTGTCACTTTTCATTCTGAGCAAGTTTGACAGCTTATGTTTAGCAGAAGGTGGTTTTTAAGAAGATAACAGCTTGGAAAGGGAGATGTTGTTAGTGAGCACTGAAGAGAAGCTTTCTGGAACTTTGTTCTTTAACCATAATGAGGGAAATAATAAGTTTTTGGCTGGCAGAGGGAAGCAGGCCTGAGGGGTCAGCTAAACTAGTTAAGCATTGTGCTAAAAGAAAGCAGTAAAAACAACTCCCTCCTCTGCCCTTCCCCTCCAAGAAACCTGGAAAACTAGTGTATAAACAAAGTGTTTCCCAAAATGGCTTGTTCTCAGTATTATCACTCTTCCACTACACAAATTAAAGTGATAAATGGGAATGTTTGTACTGCTCTTTTATGATGGAAAACTTTCAGGGATATTTGATAATACTTTCTGGATCCAAGTGCTGTTGTTTTTGGATCAGTGAGTGTGTCCATTATGTTATATGAGGTTCAATTTTAATTTGAAGTGTTTCTAGATAAGTATGTTGCAGCTTATCTGGGTGTCTTGAACTTTATTACATGAAAGCTTGGAACTAAATTACTTGTTTTTCTTTTCTACATAGATTGAATTGATAGACAGAGTAGATGACATCTACCGAAACACTTCCTGGGACAATGGAGCCTTCAATGGGTACGGCATACAGATAGAGCAGGTATTCACTGAACTGTGCAAAGGGTTGCTAATTTAAAGGCAAAGAACGTGTTTTGGATATTGGGGTTTATGATTATTTTATCTAGATTAGAGCTAAAATAATAAAATCCTACATGATTAATTCCAGCCAGGAGCACTCTGAAATAGCATCTTGCCAGTTAATGATCTGACACAGCATTTTCAGTTCCTCGCAGCTTTTGAGACAAGAGTTTTCAGGGAGAATCTTTCCATATTTAATCTCAATTCAAAGATGCCTTTTTTTTTTTCCTGAATATAAGCAATTATTATTTCTGTTAGACACACGCATATATTTAATGTTGTGTCTGTGGCTGGTGCTTAGCTTACAAAGCCTGGGTGGGCCTCAAGCACACATGAAAAAACACAAATCCTGCCTGAAGAGCTTTAATGACTCCCCTTAGACATTATGATAGTTTAGAAGCTGGTATAGGATGGACATAGGGGATGTAGTAACTACAGTTTATGAGCTGGCTCCTGAAAGTGCACAGAAATCTGGAAAAGGGCATTAAAAAGAAGAGGAATCCGTTGGCTGTGAGTGCTGCAAGATTCGTGGTGTGTAATGTGGGGTACAAGCTGGCTTTGTACCTGGTACAAGCTGCCCCTTTGCCAGGAAAAGGGCTGCAGGAATAATGAAGGCAAGTTACTTGGTTGGGGAGGGGGAAAGAACATGATACACTAATTCTAGGTGACTGGGATAGTAGCATTCCTTTAAAACATGTCTTGGTTAGCTAGAACTCTGAAATGGTTTGGGGTTATTTATACCAGATGTAAATCCTGGTTGTGTTTGAGCGGTCTTGTTTGATACAATAACACACCTCAAAGCAGAATGTTACACTGAAAACTGTTGATGTTGCTCTGTTGATGTTGCTCTATAATTCTTTAAAGCTAGTTACTTATGATGTAGTTGGTGTATCTTAACTAGCAGAGGCCGAAAGTTAATGTTGAAAGCATTGTGAGTCTGAATTTTTCTCCTTGCAGATCTATTGAGACACTTAAGATTACATTGAAAGCTTTTCTGTAGCTCTGAAATTGACCAAAATTCCTCTACACTGTTATTACCCTTTTTGAAATGTAGATTATCATCCACAATGAGCCAAATCTTGTAAAACCTGGAGAAAAGCATTACAATATGGCAAAAAGTTACCCAGATGATAAGAAAGATGCCTGGGATGTGAAAATGCTGCTAGAGGTAGGTTATAACCCTTGAAAAATTTGTGTCCCTTACAGAGAAGTACTCATTCATACAGCTGTTCTGTAGTAACAGATGAAACTCCTCTACTTCCTTCACATGATGTGTAGATGTTACACAAAGTCAAACTAGCTGATCTGCACTGTAGCCCGTGGTAAAGGGCTCTACTGCATAATTATAGAGCACACACCAATTAGAACTATTAATATGTGGCCTGAGTCAGAAAGGCTGTCCTGATATGTCTGGGCCTGAGACTGGCTGCCTTGTGACCTTCATCAGATTATAGTACTTGGTCTTCCCCTCTGAAGAAGAAGGGGGAGAGGAAAGGAATAGACAAGTTATGTAAATTAATGTGTACAATATACTTGGATATTCATTTAATTTTCCACTGCTCTGTAGGACAGATAAACAGCTGCTTTTTTTCTGACTTAACCAGATCTAGAAGGTGCATGTCTGGCTCATTAGATAAATGATCTTACCTGTAGACCTCTAATATGCACTGTAAAGTGTCTTACAAATACTTGACCTTTTTTTTTTTTTTAATTCTTTAAAGCAATTTAGCTTTGATATTGCTGAGAAAGCAGCTCACGTGTGCCTTGCTCATCTCTTCACGTATCAAGATTTTGACATGGGAACGCTTGGATTGGCTTATGTTGGCTCTCCCAGACCTAACAGCCATGGTGGCATTTGTCCTAAAGGCAAGGCTTCTTTTTCTTCCATCCCAGTTGTAGGTTGAAAGCTAGTTTTTATTATTTGTGTTTAAACCTCTTCTCCAACATTTTCTTGTCTGGAGCTGGAAAAAAGGAGGGCGGGAAGGGTAAAAGTCACTAAGCTGTCTGGTGTGAACAAGCTGGCTAGAGCAAACCCTAGACTGAGGGCTGCTTTGTGTGGGTGCATGTTGCAGCAGTTCTGGAATGGCAGATGCTGTTGTCTTGGAAATTTCTTAAATTTTCCCCTTTACTGCAATACATGAGCTGTTTATGCTGTGCTTGAAAGATTCTCCACTCCAAAAACTGACAAGAGGCATGGTCTCACTGATGAGAACAATAAAGCTGTTTGTGTCCCCAAACAAGGGTTCCTCTCTCTCCTAAAAAACCCAGAAACTGAAGAAAAATGTTTGTCAATTTTTATATGTTAATTTCTCACTTCTGTAGCTTATTATAGCCAAATTGCAAAGAAGGACATCTATCTGAACAGTGGCTTAACCAGCACCAAGAACTACGGGAAGACCATCCTCACAAAGGTAGGAGAGTATCCTCCTCTGCAGGGCATGAAGGTTCAGTGTACGTGCCTGCGTGCTGCTGGTGTGTGCCATGGGATTCTGACAAGCTTCCATGCTTTCCCAGAAACAAGCTGCTGGCTTTCTGATTCGAGTCACATCCCTGGGGACAAGGATGTAGGTCACAAAATCAAAATCATAGTTTTTATTCTTGCTGACAAGGGGAATTGGGACTGAATGGAACTGAAGATTGAATTCACTACGAAACAGGAATGAGGAAACAGCTAGTGTATAATAGGAGCTGTTTTTGTCCAGGTATCAAAAGGATTTTGATATCTAAAGATGAATTTAAATTTATTTTGCCTAAAAAAACCCCCCAAAACAAACAACAAAAAACAACAACAAAACAAAAACCAAACCCTCAAAGAGAACAAGCAGTATTATACAACAAGTAGCTTTCCAGTAAGAATAACATTAATCTGCGGACTGAAATAGGAAAAAACTTTCATGTTTGCTGTTACATACAACTACAACATGCAGGTGGACAATTGTGTGCTCTTGGTCTGTTCCATTTGCAAGGTAAAGTGGTGCAGGCAAAGCAGGAGGTTTAGTTTGGGCCTTTCAATAAAATTCCTCTACCTGATTTTTGTGTGTGTCCTGAATAGGAAGAGCAGAAAACAGTGTAACAGACAGGGTTTATTAGTGCTAATCCTGAGCCTAATGTAAATTGATGTCTGGATTTTTTTTCATACTTGATGAGATGGTAAATACATAAAGGCCTGAATATGAGCCTTGTCTAGCTTGTAAAGATACCAGAACAGTGCCTGTGTTTGCATCTACTGAATCTTGCAGTTGGGTGTATTTCTCCTTTGCTGACTTCTGCTGACTTCTCAGCTGTGCTTTTCTGTAGCCTGATTATAAAGGGAATTCATAATTGATGCGTGGGCTAAAACTTGGCACAGAAGCTGTCAAGAAGCTAGGAGAAAAGACAGTGAAGCTTTGTGTGAGAGGGATGTTGACTAAGAGCTCTAGCCATTGCTGTGCTATTTGCTTTTGTTCAATCTCCAATCTGGAGTTCTGCCTTGGATTACAAAAGAGATTGAGTTTGCTGTCTTGCCAGTGGTGGTCACAAAGCTTGGGATGAGGCAGTGGGAGCATTATGGATTGGTTTCACAGAGAGAATGTTGCACAGTGTCCAACTGGATTTTGAAAGGCAAGAAAATATCTGCTTAAAACTCTTCCCCAAATTAAACACGATGAAGTACAGGAGTGAGCTCTGGGCAGCTCTCCTGTCTCTGACACTCACTTTATGCCTGGATGTGAACACTGGTGCTGCTTGTTGCAGTGCTTGGTCCTTTCTGTGCCTCCACAGCAGCAGAAACGGCAGTTAGCTCATCCAACTTGCTTCTCTCTGCTGAACTGCTCAGTCTCCTTGTTGTTAACTTTTATTTCTGGGCTAATTTTATTGGTGGCTGTCACCTTGTGAGCTTGACATGATCTGCTGGTGCAGGTGCTGCAGGGAGGCGCATAGTGCAGCCGCTTCGGGATCCTCAGCAGAGAGTCTTGTCTTACATAAGTGATGTTGGAAATCCATCCCTCTTGGGCCACATTTGTGGATGTCTTTCCTAGTAATCATACAATAGAAGAGCTTATTCAGCTCTCTTAATGTCATTATCCATTTAGAAGAAATAATTCTAGGGGCAAGGTATGCTAAACAAGAGATTGACTAATCATAGTAGCTGGTGTTTGTTTGGATTAGTTTTTGTTTCAACTTTTTATGCCTTCCAGCTATTTAAAAGCCAACTTTCGTGTTTGAAGTATTTGCATTGTATTGAAAACAAGATTGAATCAGTATTCTAGGGCAGCATTTTGCCTTTAACAGTGGTTTAGTATTAAACTTAGTCCTGGCTTGTGCCTTTGGAAATGGACTGTAATATTACTATTTCACTTGCCTTCAGTTCCCCAATTTAAAAAAAAAATGTTGATAAGGAAATCCCTTTCTATCTCAGTGTATCTTAGAATTGGTCATGTCCTAGAAGTAGCTGGGATCTGTCTTACACTGCTTGGACTGGTTTTTTTCAACATTGGTTTTTTTTTCATTTTCAAAAAAGGAGGCTGACCTGGTTACGACGCATGAACTGGGACATAACTTTGGAGCAGAGCATGATCCCGATAGTCTGCCAGAATGTGCCCCCACTGAAGACCAGGGAGGAAAATATGTTATGTATCCAATTGCTGTCAGTGGAGATCATGAAAACAACAAGGTATAGTTGCATAGTTTTGCTTCCACGTAAAAGTTTCTGCCGTGGTCAATGACCCTTTGCATGGAAAGTCTATTTAGTTAATGATTCCTGTAGCTTGAAACCGTCAGGAATGTAATGGGTTAGTGATAAGAAGAAAACATACTTGTGTGCTGTTGGGTTCTCTGCAAGATAAGTTCATCTTTGGATTCTGAGTTTCACTGGGGTTCATAGCATGTCCAAGTGCCTTTTCATTAGTTGTTTGTAATTAGCTGTGGACAAATGCTCTTAAAAGCAGGACCTTCAGTACCAAATAGTGTTTGGATGGTCTGCAACCTGTCTTGTTGGAGAAAGGCTGCCAGGTGTCACAGCCATGGTGCTTGCCAGTCTCAGAAGCTTGGCGCTGGCATTGCAGACTTGGCATTGTGCCTGTTCTGCAGGTGACAAACCAAGATTATTGAGGGAATGATTAGTCTGCAGTCTGGTCTGACTTGTGGTTCACACTTAGCCCTGCTGCTGAGAGCCAGCCGTGACTCTCTCTGTTCCTACAACTTTACATCCCTTGCTGGGGATGGTTGCTGGTGCTTCTGAAGCTGTGGAAGAGCTGGAGTTGGCTCTGGGAGCCTGAGCCAGACTGCTTACGGGTGTCCCTGCATTGTAATGTAGCAGTGTCCTTTATGGACCAAACCTTTGCTTTCCTATCTTAAAATGTTTCCATGTACAAAAACTGGTGGTGTAGAAGGAATAACTGCTTTCTGAGACACCAGAATTTGGAGGTGTAAGGAGGCTGAAGCTGTCTTAGGTGCCACATTGACAGAAAGGTACACTCCTCAGTGCTGCTCTTTCCCCTTGTGACTCTCTAGATGTTCTCCAGCTGCAGCAAAAAATCCATCCACAGGACCATAGAGATCAAGGCACAGGAGTGCTTCAAAGAGCGCAACAACAAAGTGTGCGGGAACTCCAGGGTGGATGAAGGGGAGGAATGTGATCCTGGCCTCTTGTACCAACTGGCTGATCCCTGCTGCTCTGCAGACTGTAAACTGAAAGATGGTGCAAAATGCAGGTAAGGGGAAATCAGCTGCAACTTCTCTGAACAAAGGAGAGAACGATGGGCTGGGCTGAAAGCTCCTAAAGCCACCTGCGGTGTCACAGACCTGTTTCCTGGCTTAAGGGTAAATGTGCAAGCTGAAGACAGTCAAGGATTTCAGAAAAGGCTGCTGTGTGCCTGCATGTTTTTATAGCATTCACTTTTTCTGAGCAGTGTCAAGAGCTGCAGGCTTGAAGATTATTGTTGTTGTTGTTATTACTATTATTATTAAGCAAACTTGGGCAATCAAAAATTAATATTAAAAATTTACTTTGCAAACTTCCTGTGCAAATGCAATTTTTGCTTGTATTGTGAGCTGGCTTTAAACTGGAATAACATACTGGTATTTTAAAGACTGATGCAAAATGTGTTTGAGCATTCAGCAGAGTGACTGCACTAAATGAGTCCTCTTTCAGTTCTTGCTCTTTAGGATGTTTGCGGCCCTGTTGCAATGCGATGTCCAATCTGTTTTTTTCAAAGTTCAGCTCTGCACCACGCACCAGTAGAGACCTCATGCAACTCCTGTTGTTTAGCAAGAAATTCCCTCAACTTTAACAACTGTGTTTGTACTAAGGGCCTTCTTGAGTTAGGTGCACAACAAAGAATAAAGAGAGTGCAGAGTAGAGAGTAGTAAACCTTCAGGACAAATGGGGGAAAAATACAGTGGAAGATCTTGTCTAAAGTTGCACAGCAAGTGACCAGAGGATCCAGGTGCCTTGAATAAATACAAGGAGCCCTGTGTTGTCTCTCAATATGTTGTGCTTTCTACATCCTTTTACCTTTGGTAAATGGAGAGTGAGTGGGTGTGTAGAAAGGTGGTCGTGGGAGGGAGTGGAGAGGGCAAGGGTTTTGAATCGGTGAGTCAGTTTCCAAGGAGCTTTTTTCCTGCCCACCCCCACGCCCCCCTCAAACATCCTTTTTCTCTGGCTTTGTCATGCTCATACTTCTTTTAAAAAAGAAATTGCTTAGTATTTCTTCCTTTCATTTTGATCTTTCCACAGTGATCGGAACAGTCCCTGCTGTAAAGGCTGCCAGTTTGAAAGTGCACAGAAGAAATGCCAAGAAGCCATAAATGCCACTTGTAAAGGAGAATCTTTTTGCACTGGTAGGAGGTGGTTCTGTCCCCTTTATGTCAGCTGTCCAAGTGCTTCAGGCTCAGTGTCCTGTTCCATCTGCTTTCAAACTAGTGCCATTTATTCATCCGGTACATGTAATTGTAGAGACCAGTTAAGCATCACGAAATTGGCCTATAATGAGTTCTATTGTAGTTCAGGAGTCACTTGGTGATTTACTGCCCCGAAGAACATGAAAAATGTTGATTTTTTTTTTTCTTTTATTTTCTTTTCTTTATTTTTTTTTTTTATTCTTTGTTTCTTTCCCTTAAAAAAAGAAAAATCAAAACAGTGTGTCACTGGGAAGGGACAAGAATGAGCTGAATCTTGCCATAGAAAGGGTGGAATTACTGCAACTCTGCTTCACTTCCCCACTTGTTTACTTCCTCCTCATAATCATTCCTGGAGGCAAGGAGTCAAGTCAGAGCTGCTGCTGCTGCTTTGCTCCCTCCCGGGTCTGCTACCTACTGCTTGGTTGCCAGAGTGCCACAATGCCCGAGTTGTTGAAAGCCTCCAGAGCTTCTGCTGCCTCTCAGAGGAGCTGGCAGGCAGCCTGCAGATGAAAGCCAAGAACAAGCTGTTGGTGTTGCCCTGGGATGAGTCTGGATTTCCTTTATTGTCCTTTTTATTTCTGCACTTAGGTGCTCTGCCCTTTGCTCTAACGCAGTCCTCCCACCCTGTCAACCCCTGTCTGTAGGGAACAGCAGCGAGTGCCCCCCGCCAGGGAACGCTCCAGATGACACAGTCTGTGTGGACATGGGGAAGTGCAAGGATGGCGAGTGTGTCCCTTTCTGCGAGAGGGAGAAGAACCTACGGTCCTGTGCATGCAATGGTGGGTGACATGGGACTGAACTGAACTGTGTGCTTCAGCTCTGCTCCTCAGAGACAGCTGCCTTCCCTGTGGGGTTGCCTGTTGGAGGGCTGAGTTTATGGTTTCTGAAGAAGTTTAAACATTGTTTTTTCAGGGCTAGTGTTTTCTGTTTGGAAAAATAATGTAAATCTCTTGTCATCTGCTCTGGGTTTGAAGACATTAGGATGAGACTTAGAATCATAGAATCATTTTGGATGGAAAAGACCTTTAAGATCATAAGAGTCCAACCATAAACCTAACACTGCTGAGTCCACCACTAAACCATGTCCCTAAGCACCACATCTACACGTCTTTTAAATACCTCCAGAGATGGTGACTCAACCACTTCCCTGGGCAGCCTGTTCCAGTGCCTGACAGCTCTTTCAGTGAAGAAATTCTTCCTAATAACCAACCTAAACCTCCCCTAGTGCAACTTGAGGCCATTTGCTCTTGTCCTATTGCTTGTTACTTGGGAGAGGAGACAGACACCCACCTCACTACAGCCTCTTTTCAGGTAGTTGTAGAGAGCGATAAGGTCTCCCCTCAGCCTCCTTTTCTCCAGGCTAAACAACCCCAGTTCCCTCAGCTGCTCCTCATCAGACCTGTGCTCTAGACCCCTCACCAGCTTCATTGCCCTTCTCTGGACACACTCCAGCAACTCAATGTCCTTCTTGTAGTGAGGGGCCCAGAACTGGACACAGTATTTGAAATGTGGCCTTGCCAGTGTACAGGGGGACAATTACTTCCCTGGTCCTGCTGGCCACACCATTTCTGATACAAGTCAGGATAGTCTTGGCCACCTGGGCACACTGCCTGTGCCCAGGCAGTTACGGCCTGGCACTGCAGTTAAAGGAGATGGCACTCTCCCACCCTCCACTTCCTCTGCCAGAGGCAGACAGGAGGGAAAAGTCTGACTGTTCTCTGATTGTAAGGAGATCCCAACCAACCTCTGAACCTGGCATCTGGCAGAGGGGTGGTAGCCTGCAACAAGTGGCTGAAGAAAGATTCCAAAGAGGTTAAAGTGCCTTGAGAACACAGGATCCTTGAGTCCAGTCTCTTGCTACTGCTGGCCTGCCTGTCATACTGCTGTCAATAAGCTTTGCTGTTCACCTGCTCTCCATCTCGGCTCTTAAATCTGGTAAAGCAGCTGGGAGCAGGTGGAAAGCTTCACCGGGGCAGTCCAGGGAAGTGCTGAGAGTCCCACCATTTGAGATGGAGGGCATCGCCAAGGAGAAGGGTGCCTAAAGGACCCAAAGTCCAAGAAATATTTAAATCTGTGTCTTGCACATCTTTGGAACCTCTTCACCTGCCTGTTGATTCCTGCAGTGTTGGAGTATTAACTTGGGGAGCTTGGTCCTGCTGTGTCCCCTAATAGGTTGCATAGAGTATCTGGTTGAGTTTCAGGCTTGGTCATCAGAGTAACTGAAACTGGGCAACTTACACGGTCCTGCCTTCCCCCTTCCGCAAGGGGAAGCTGGGCAAGAACACAGTCAGCCAGGGGATGACATGGGGTTATGGGTTGCAGGTGACTCTTGGTGCTTCCAAGGAATGAGTTTGTTGCTTTATTACAGAGACAGATAATTCCTGCAAGGTGTGCTGCCGGGACAAGCAGGACAGGTGCGTCCCGTACGTCGATGCCAACGACCAGTTCCTGTTCCTGCGCAAGGGGAAGCCTTGCACCGTGGGCTTCTGCGATACAAACGTAAGTGTCAGCGCGCTGCACTCTGCTTCTGTGGCTGCGTGTTTCAGTCTGTGGTGAGAGCTGTGCTGGTGAAGAGAATCATA